GCCTGGGTCTAGCCATGACACAAATGTCCGCAAACATGAAGACAAAAGAAGACAAATGAGAGAGAAAAGTCATTGTACTGTATATGCACAGGATGACTGACTACATCAATACAGGACAGCAAAAATCACTAAGCTTTAATCTATTCATCTGCTCCATTGCTTTGGTCGCACATGCCTCCATGGAGTAAGGGAAAAATGATGTGAAAAGAGTCAAAATTGATGTCTGAGCATCGGACTTTGAAGAAGTAATTTCACCCATTTGGTTCTGCTCATTGCCATGGCGCACAAATGAGCATCAGTTGGCAACTTCTGACCCTCCTCTGAGCTTAATGGCTCATCTTTGAACTGATTTGTTCTGACAGACAACGGCCTATGTTGCGTATGCTGTGACACACCATGACCCCCATGCCTCTCTCTGTAAGAGAAAACACATTTATAATAGCAAAACACAGGATGGATACCCATTTATCCTAAGATGGGGATCCTAAAATGGTTGTAGATGGATTTTATCAAAACAGTGTATCCTACAGAGGAAGATCCGCTTACAGAAAGTCAAAATCACCACTAACGAAAAATCATAAACAAATGACTGTGCATTTTCATATCACGTTTTCTATTGATCACTTTAAATGACAACATTTTAGTAGTTTTTTTATTTTATCTTTCCAAATTCAAACATATGTACACACCTTTTGTCAACGTCTGTGCAAGTCTATTGAGTTATGGTTATAACCCATTACTAGGAAATTAATAATCTGTACTTCATGTTGGACGAATAAAACTACAGTAAATGTATTTAAAAGTAAATATGATTGAAAATGTGATTTACGTATTCAGAAGAATATAAAAGTGCTTCAAGTAATGGTATGAGCTTGTCATTAGTTCGGCCATAACTGGTTATCTTAAGCAAGCGCAGCACATTTTCAAAGTACTTCCAGGACATCTCTCAAGCTTTGCCCCATAGCAGAAGTTGGTCACTCAGAAAAATAGCTAGGAAAAACAGAGTGATGGGCCTTTAGATGCAGGAGCTGAAATGGCTTGTTAGAGACAGATGATCATGTCACGAGTTATCAACAGCGGCTCCATTTTCTCAGACTGCGGCTGACTTCCTACCGATCAACGACGGAGAGTGCCCAATTTGTACTTTACGGGGATCGCTTTGCACTCACACCGCTGTATATGTATACATTATCTATCACTGTCCATAAAAAGGATGCCACTCCATACAACTTCATAGTTTAAAGTGAAAGTTGCACATGCACAATGAAAATAAAATCATTAAGGAAAACATTGATTAATATACATTTAAAAATATAATTAAAACCACTGTTTGTGAAACCAAAGACTAGCGTATCCTTGGTAACATAACTTTGGCGGAATGATCTTTCAACCATACAAGATGTGGAAGTAATATTACCTCTGTTGTTACGTTTTCATATGTTGAAACATAACCATTCTTATCCTTAAGAAAACAAATGAACATGTCTGTATGACAATATTTCAAGTGTTGTTCATAACACACTGACAGATCATTTTCTCAATTCTCAGATTATCCACACAAGTTTCCAAGCACACACTTTGGAGCAAACTAATGCAAATTCATACTTAAAGTATGCAAAAGTGATCTATGTGCATAGAGAGGCTGAGCACATGTCTCTCTGTCAACATTTTGCTTAAAGCTAGACAGATACAAAGCAAAAAGGGCACCATCAAAGGTCAAAGTGCGTGGCTGGGAGTACAGGCAGAGCAAAGGGCACACAGGCCCTTTGGCAACGTTGAATGTCAGTGCACACTAACCATTCAGCGTGATTTTCATTGAGTCATTGCCATACTCAGCTCCCATTTTCATACTACAGTACAATCTGAGTAATATGAGTACATTATGTTTCATCATAGCAGATTTTGAATAAGAAAAGGTGGAATTTATAACCATGGATGAAAAAAACAAACAAAAAAACACAGTCACTCCGGCAGGAATCTGTGAGGATTGCTACAGCTTTAGTTGACCTGGATTCATACTGCTTTATGCATCGTCATGATGCTCAAACTCTTCAACACAACCAGCAATAACTGTCCACTTTTTGATTCACAAGATCTTTCATGCTTTTTCAGCAAGTTTGACAGGCCACAAAGGAACAATATGGAACCCTCCAAGTCTGTTTTATTTCTGTCATGTCACAGTAAATCCTGTAGATTTCAGTCATACACCTTTGCATTGAACAAACTGCTTGCACTATCCCTCCAAACACACATTAGTGCTAGAAAGCAATTTGCCTGGCTACTTCTTGTGAATTGAGCTAAATTTACTTAAACATTGTTTTAAATTGAATATGTTATATCTCCTTTTAATCTTACTTTTACTCTCTAACTCGCAGGAATTTGGTTAGTGGTTGTATCACCATCTCCAAAAGCCGACTGCCTTGTTATACCATATATACCTGAACCTGTAGCACACATTATCATTTGGCCTTAGCATAAAGCCTATTTGCAAAAAATCGTGTGGTCTGTTACTGTGGAAGCAACACAGTGAAGTTAGTGAGAATGAACTAAAGTATAAAATATGTGTGATTTAATATCTAAACAACAAGCTCAAACATACTAGTCATAGTGAGAATAATGTAAGAGTTGATCATCGTTTTGCTTTAAAAGAGGAGACTAACCCCAAAAAATTGGAACCATCTGTCTATTCATTAGGCAAAGCCCAGCTTGTTTCTCTCTTCATACAGCATAACCGAACTTGAATTCTTTGTCATTGCTATTTTCATCATTCTTTTGTTTATTTGTCAATATTTTTTAAGCTATTACGTTATTCCACTGTTTCTGGTGTCCTAAATCTACGTTCTATTTTCAAACCACAAAAATTTTTATTAAGTTTACCATCTATAAAAATGACCAATCAAATCTGGTAGCTACATGTAAACCTGCATTTAAGACATAACTGAAGCTGTGTGTTAAACACGGGGTGTGATGATGGAAGACTGTGAAATAAAACGTCCAACTCATGTGTCCCTTTCACAGGCTGTGACCACAAGACACAAACAGACTTGAAGTATTCTGAAATATTCCTTAAAAAATTCCAGCCTGTCAGCCATTGCTGAACCTGTTGGGACCTTGTACCTGCCTGCAACCTGGCTTCCAACATCCTGGATCAAACCGCACTCTCAGTACAGCTGCAGATAACACAGAGGGAGGAGGAGAGAGCCTGTTAGATATAGGTCCAACTCCAGACAGCATTACTGCATGTCCAAGGGGAAAAGGCAGAGATGGAGAAACTAATGAGGAGCTAAGAGGTAGCACTAGGAAGCACCTGCTGTGTTCAGCTTCTGTCATAGATCCAAAAACAGAAGACTTCTTGTCATTCTGGAAGTTTTGTCCATTATAAAAATCATAGAAATGAACATATAAAAATCGAAACAATATAAATGGGCTGCTATTAAAAGAAAGGGGCGATTCTTGGGGTAATTGAGGTAATTGTTTTTGTATTGACTAATAAAGAGTTATTTGGGATTTATTTTGGACAATTAATATGGGAAGATATTAAACAAAATTCAAATTTGTGAACTGTAACATCAGGAAGACCTTTAGGAAACAGGGTATTTGCAAAGTCTTTGACCAAGGATTACAATGTGCAGATAATTGACAGACATGGCTTTTCCACCTTCCTGTAAGGAATTGAAACAAATAAACCCTTTATTCATATCCAGCTTTAACTTCTGCTTCTGTGGTGTGATTCAAGAACATAAATATATGTAACTCACGGTGGAGTTGAAGCGTAGGTGACAGATGTTACATGAGACGATAGGTTTCTTCTTGGGTTGAGACATGCCAAAGGTGTGGTTGATGACAGCCTTCTGCACTGGGTCCATCTATAAATTGAAACATACACAAACACAAAACATGAATGGATATGGAAACTAAACTTCTCATAACAATGTGAGCTTCTATGTTTCAAAGACTAAAAAGACCACATATTTAAGTATGCAATTTTATGATGATTTCACATTACAGACGTCATTTAGAAACAGTAATGTCAATTGAAGTTTTCATTGTTCTACTCAATTTTTAATTAAGAATGGAGGAATATATTAAATTCTATCTGGGGCTGGAATTTTTTCTTCAGATAACTATAGTAACTTGAATTCAATGTGATGTCAGCGAAAAGAAGTATGACCTCTTACAGCGTTAAAATTTGGGAAGAGGTTAAGTGGTGAGGAGCGGCTGATTCTGAGTGGCAGGAAGTGCTCCAGCTGAGCGTGACTCTGTGGCTGAAGAGGTCGACCCGGCAGAGGCAAGGAGCCCAGGAGTGGGTGGACCTGGTTCTGGGACAGTGCACCTAAAGGAGAGAAGAGCACATATGAGCAATTTGTGGAGAGATGCAAATTTCACCACTTTACATTTGAGCCACCAAAGCTCATCATTTTCAAATATAGACTAGAAAAAAGACAGATCTTAGCAAACACTTGAGACCAAGACCCACACAGTGAATGATTCACCCGATGAAGCTTTAATAACTTTGGTAATAACAGGCGATAAATGAGAGGCTTTGTGTGACCTTTACCTGTGTGTCACAAGTTCATTATTTATCTTGTCAAATACCTGTGGCCTTTAAGCTCATATTCAGTTTCTGTGATTGTACTTTTGTACTCATTTATGTTACATCCAAATCTCTGTCCAAATCGTCTGTCTTCCTCTTTTTATTTAGAAGGTTTCCTGAGCAGTATCATCAATACATTATGCTTTGAAATGTCCTTCCACATGAGCTTCTAATTTCATCACATTTAAGTCTGGTTGACCTGCATGCTTTTAGACCGCTCATGTTTTAAAGAGCATTATGGTGCTGACCTTTGTCTAAATCCAAAGTGACATTAGTGCACTGAGATAAAAATGCTGATAAGGATTGTTTGGGCTGTCTGTCTGCTGGATGCCCATATGCTGCCTGGTTATGAGGAAATGAGTTAAGGTAGGAATCAGGATAGACTGGCCTTATATATTGCTTTTACAAAAGTTAAAAAGAAACTTTACTCTAAGGTGACATATATGTGTTTTTAGTAGCAGAAAACTGTTTTAAAAAAAACAACAATATTTGGATTATTAAAATGAAAGACATTTCATTTTTCCGTGCATCTGAAGACTGTGCATATGGATTCAAGTTTGTGGTTAGTGAGTGTGGAGGGGAGGTCTGGATAGATCAGGACGGAAAATGAATGAGCTTAATGATACAGAATACAGGAAAAGTTCATGTCTGGTAGCCTGTGTCTATAACCAAAAAAACGACAAAATAGACAGATGAAGCTGGATAAAAAAACAGATGACAATCAGAGAATACAGAGATTAAAGTTGTGAAGGTTATGAGAGAAAAACAAAGTGCAAATATTTTACTTATGCAAATAAGTTTACTCTTAGAAGAATTTCATAATAAAAAAGTCATCAATCGCATTAATAAAAACAACAAAAGAAAGGAAGGAAGGAAGATACAAGACAATTAGGTCAAAATCACATAAGTGATTTCTTGCAATAAAAAAGCAAATTTCCCAGGGTGCCGATTTTCCATGTCTTGATTTTAAAATTAATCTAAGGAGATAAGGTAGTTTTAAAGTCTTTAAAATGATTGTTTTCATTTCCAAAAATATTCAAGACTGAGCACAGACACGAAAGGGAACAAAATAAAGCAACTTTTCCATGTTACAGTCTGTGATAATATATGTGGCAGTGAGTGTGTTGAAAAGATGAAAGCCTGCTTTAAATTTGATAGAGTGGAATCGGATGTCCAGAAGCCAAATATCCAAGAGAAGTTAAAGACGGCCAAAAGATTCAAATAATACAATGCTGAATGAAATTGATTAAGGAAGAACAGCTTGTGATTTAAGTATAAACCTAAAGGTATTTTAGTTGTCAAAGGAGTGGACAGGACTTTGTCTCATCTACAGCGATGACAACAATGTAGTCAGTAAACAATAGATTATGCATTGCCTCATATTTCATACTCAAAAGAAACTATGGTGGCTGGTAAAATTGTAATTAACAAAGAAGTCCCATATATTTTTAGGCTACTGCGGAAAGATAGGAGCAATCTGTGGAGACAAATGCCTCATTATACGGCAACCTCACACAACAATTCTTGTTTTCCTATGATTCAGTTCAACAGATTGCTATTAATGCTAAAATGTTAAAATGAGGGCTGTTACTAATCATGATGGAAAAACAATGTGAAATTGACGTTTTACCAACGTGTTTAATATGAGTACATAAAAAGGAAAATGTAATTAATTACAGATTAGCTTTTAAAAAACAAAATCAGATGTGCTTTTGGCAATAGTAATCATGTAATAAAGCATGTGGCCACAATAAAAACAGATAAGATTTCTGTTGATTTAGCTGAGGATTATCAAAAATGTGACAAACTGGAACTTTAATCTCTTCGTTTCTAGTCCTCAGTCTTGAAAAGTAGAAGATCAAAGTTAAAGTCAGATGAAGAATTGATCAACTATATTTATCTTCTATCTTCCATCTGTTCAATACTGCATCTCAAATCATCAAATACTAATTTAATAATCAAGTATGTAATTTATAACAATCATGTTTCATAATTCTTATAAAGTCAACCCTTAAGAAATATTAAATTTCTCTACACAAAAAGATGAACTATTAACAGATTTCAGTCCCATACCAGGTATTTAACTTCACGAAAAATAAGCAACAATAAATCTCTGAAACCATTGATTAGGGACACGGATAATAAAGAAAGTAAAGCCGAGCTACAGATAAAAAAACAAAAACAAGTTCAGGTTACAGTTTCTTCTATTAATTCAGCGAATTAAAGTACCTTATTGGACCGTGCATCAATTCAAATTAAAACTTGAAAAGAGTAGGTAGATTGGCAGACAGTAGATTGGAAATTGATCTCTCTGGACCGAACGCATGCACAAAAACACACAATTATTACTTGTTTACAAATTTGATTGAGAATGATCCCAATTTAATTTAGATTCTCCTCCAGGACTGCTCATGTGTCGCTAATGCCAGTAAAGTCATTTGAATAGCAGAGTGAAGGGGAAATGAATGGCAGAGAGGCCCACAGTCATACGGTCATATGAGAAGGTTTTTTTTTTGTCATTCAGGCTGACGTGCTTAATCTGCAAGTCAGAATGACTTTTGGGGATGGTGATTTCCTCTCCTACACAAATCTAAAATTGATCTGAGTAATCTCCTACGCACACAGTCACAAAAATCATCATGGTGAGACATTTAATTAACTATGTTTTGCTCAGAACAAACTAGAAACTGCTATGAACTAAGAGCGGTTCAACAGCATCTGGTAACAGGAGGTTCCCTTTAAAGTTAACCATTTTGTTCGCGTCCAGAGGGTCACAGACGTTTACTTTGACAAAATGATCTAATGCTATGGGAATTTTTTAACCAGAGGGCCTTGATGTGCTTCTATAAATAGCGACTCTGTTAACTTCATGAACCCAATTACTGTAGCCATGCCCTGAAATAAAGCCAAGAGAGATTTGCTTTATGTTTTACATCAAACAGCTGTAACACCTCCTCAACACTGAAAATTTGCTAAAACAACTATTTTCCCCCAAAGGAACATAACAAATATTGATATGCCTTTGAATCAGGAAGTGAGCCAGATCGGCCATCGGGAATTTTAAATAAACCTTTCTACAAACTGGTGAAAAATGATAAAGCACAGTGTCAGTCCTCAGACTATAATTTTGCTTTGTGGTTAATTCTTCATTCTTCTTAGTATTTGTTATTTTAAAAGTGTACTAAACTAACTATACCAAAATATGTAAGGAAAAAACATGAAGACAACATCTCTTCACACACCACTGCAAATATGACAGCCTATCCTGTGCTGCCACTATAAATGTGACTCTAAATTTGAAAGGAATCAGTTGCTGCTTGCTAATCTTTATTCTAATTCTTTTTTAAGCAGAAAAGCTGGGAGAGTAGGTCACAGCAACCAACCTCCATATAATGAGAAGGAGTGGGCCTATACGGGTTTGTGCTGGGGAGATTTTGCAGAATCTCTAGAAGAAAAAAACAGGTATGATCTCTTTTATTTCCTAAATTATTCTTTGGACACATCAGAACAATTGGCTGAAGATAATATTGCAAGTTTTCATGACGTGTGTGTTGGGTGGGTGGCAGAAATGAGAGGCTTTTACAGCAGCGAACGCATCAGAGGGTAGGCTGCTGCTGCTCGTTCCATTGTGTAACTTTCGCCTAGGATTATCTGTCCGGGCCAGACTGTCTTCACTCGGAACCAAAACCCATTTCTGAGAGCTCATATTAAAAAATGGAAACTCATTTAATGTTAAAAGAAAATAAATATTTTGCTTTACTGATTCATCATATGTGATACCCTAAAAAACAGAATATATTTGGTTCAAAAGGTGACATTTTAGATGGTTGATTTAATTCTCCTGGGAATAATATTGTTTCATGTGGTCTTTTTTTCTCAATAAACCAAATATGACAATGGAACGTTGAGTGCTAATAGGGGACTTTGGGCTTGCTAGTGAGATTATATGGTGTTTTGGGCTTTTTTTGTTATGTTGTAAGACTAGCAAAACCATCAATCAAAACCACGGCTAAGGAAGACTCTTATGCTCTGTCTATATCTGTAATAATATAAAGTCAGATTCTAAAAGCCTTCACATTTTATCCAGAGACAACTAAAGCGGTGGCGACTCCATTTTATTTAGATACAGTGCAGTGTCCTTTGAAAAGACACAGCTCTATTTTTACAGGAAACATAGTAAAGGTTTATCTCCACCATGCAGATTGGAACATGCATGTTGGCCAAAGCTATTGAAGATACGTCCCCTCCACCATTTTTGACAATGACAAATGTCAGTCATCCCTAAATATTGTGCACATATATCTTTCTGAATATTTCTTCTCCATAAAATCAGTCAGTCATAACGCAGTGCTATACAATACTAGGAAACGTGGGATAAAAATGAAAGAAAAAGTGTCTTCTCATTTGACATGGGTTGATAGTAAAGCCTGAAAAACCCATTTTTAAATCGTGAAAATGAAATGGCACGTTTTCCACTTCATAATAACATGAAGCACACAGCTTTTCTGAGTCATAAAACACAAATGCTTGGTGCACTGCGCTTTTGCAGTAACGATGATGCCATTCATTGCTTACACAACAGGCATAGTGCTAGGAATTTATGATGAGCTCTGGAGGATGAATTAGCGGCCATTAAAACTGCCACTGACAGCTCTGCAATGAGTCCATTTTACTGGAATCAAAAAAGGAAAAAGAGGTGAGTGAAGGTCTAATTTCCACAATGGCATGAAATACTGCCCCTGCTGTGCTCGGTGTGGTCTTTGTATAAATCATCTTTATTACAAC